TTGTCAACCTCATTGTCAACCTCATTGTCAACCTCATTGTCAACCTCATTGTCAACCTCATTGTCAACTCAGATCATTCAGAAAACATACACAAAGAAAATACAGTAGCCCATTGTTTTAATCCTACTAACACAATGCGCTATATACTATAGTTAAAAAAAAAACCTTGCATAAACATCTATAGTATTATATTTGAACCCAATGAAGATAATTCAACTATCATGATACAATAGATGTATGTAAAAAGGTATTTTACATTGAACTTTGGAATATGTAACTTTTAGAATGACATAAAAGCGGTCCTCACATCTTTGGTTGAATTTTTCAAAATTGACCTACATGCACAACAACATCCAAACTGCAATTAGTCTGACTGGGGCTAATGTTCCCTGAATTAGTCTCTACCCCAGGCATTATTGTCTTTGTTGACGGGCAGAGATGAGACAATGATTATGTCTGTTAGGGAGCATCATGGTGTGTTTAATGGTGGCTGTTCAAATGTCCGCAGAAAGTCCAGACATACATTTTTAACACTGTACAGGAAACAAAACAGCCCCTTGTCTGATGAATCATCTATAAGCCAGAAAGAAAAGTTCTTTGTTCTGAGCTTGAACCAAACTTTTCTCAGGTGTTTGCCGGGATGTTTCAGAAAAGCAATGCCTTCTTTTTTTAAAAATTAATAATGATTATCAGTGGCAGCTGGTTTGAATGAAGTCTGCCATGTGTTGTGCTTTTGTTTTTTTGAGAACCTTTTTCTGCGTTTCTTTCTCAGTGGAGTGACGGAAATAAGCAGGGAGATGGGTGAGTTCACCTTCATCCAAGCTCTAACTGGGTGGATACCAGAAATCCATCCAATAAAGTAAGGCCCTTATAGTTTGATGTCTCTATTTTACTGTTTCTTTGTATCCAATATATACAGCAGGTATTCCTTCAAGTAATAAGATTATATAATTAATGTTGTTGAAATCATATACCATGACTCTGTATTTTAGAATGACCATCTAGTTTCTGGTAGATAGTAGCATAATTTATTAATGAACTAAATGTACTTATTCTAACATTGGGGTGTTTTCAGTGCTGTTTTACTGTGAATGTAGACATAGGCAAATTCCTTGGCAAATGATATGGAAAATGATTACACTGAATTAAAAAAATGGAGGTACAAGATATTGAGAAAATATAAACCTAATTCCCAAAACGTGTAACCCTACGTAGAATGTAGATTGAAACCAAATCCAATTCTATGCTTATCAGTAAGAAGAAATATTTTAATCTAAACTGAACACAGAAGCCAAATGTTGAAAATAACATGTAATATACAATTTTTGTCTTGGAAAGTCTGTATTGATGGGAAAATAGGTTACTCTGACATTTTTTTTAGCATTGATGGCATCTTTCCAAATGTTCAAGTTTCCATCTCAAATTAGGATTTCTGTACCTACAAAAAAGTTTTCTATTTGGATTTATTACATTTTTTGATGAGCTTTGGTACACAGAAGATGACATTGTTTCTGAATCATGTTCACATATTACTTCTTTTCTGTATGAGCTCAGTCCTGCATGTGTTGATGGGGGATGAACATTGCCATGGTTCTTGATGCCCTGCCGTTCCATGACAGATTGATGTTTTTTGAATGATGTGTCATGTGAGAGTTTTCAGATCATATGGATCCAAAACTTTGTACTGTGTAATCACAACGTCTGAATTTTATAACACTCTCTGCACTTATTTCTCATGGTTTAAGAAATTCAGATTTTTGGGCATGTGGAGAACAGTAGCATGAAATAGCTGAAGATTTTATAGAGTATTCAAAGTCCTAAAACAGAACACATAATCTGTTATCTAACAAGTCTTTTTGTATGACACCTAAATAATAAACACGAGAGCCTGAAATTGCTTTAAAATCGTAGTTTTACAACGCAATGGTTGATAGTATTATCTGTAGTCTGGAATCATATTCTCTCATATACCCTCTTTTTTAGGTCGGTCTACTCAAGAAAAATCTGGGAATTTTTGCGGGACACGATTCCTGAATTTAAACACCAAGATGAGAGTTCACAAGTGACAAAGCCTGGGATTCCAGGTCCAACTGCAGAGTTGGATTCCCCTAAATGTGAGAACTAGCCTGCTACCAGAACCAAATAACATTGAAGGTCTTCATTGTGCTACACACTGACACACACACACACACACACACATACACACACACACGGATAAACGAAAAAGACAGATTTACATATAGATGTGCATTTGCATGCACAAGTATTTGTTACAGAGTGTCCGTCTTCATTTAATTGAAAAGGTCTGTACAATCAATCATTCTTTACTATGACAATATAGATGCAGAGAACAAGCTCAATTACTTGTTGTTGTCATATTTATTGTCACATTTCTTGTCTTTGTTTTGATATATAGACATTTCTGCTGTCATTTTGATGTGCTGTATATTACTCAAAGCATTTAACCCCTATTTGTGAGTGTGTATTTGTGAGTATGACAAAGTATTCATAGTGCTACAGAAAGCGGTCTTTATCTTATTCTGTCAAATAGTTTCAGAAACCTTAGCAAAAATTGAAAACTTGTTCTGTCCATTTACTTAAGGATAAGACGGATCACCCTTACAGGTTAACATTGCTGTTGTTGGATAATGCATAGTATCTTCATTTATGAGTGGCCTCCTACCTCTTCCCTGTTTCAAACACCACTTCCTGTTTTCCTGAGTTCATCCATTATGGAGTGTAGAGAGGGTTAAAGCATATATGATGGATCATAAATAAACCAGCAGAGGGAGCAGTGGAAGGGTGAATTATTTGGTCCTCCCTCAGGGCAGAGGAGCCTCCCAAGTCAAGTGTGGTATTAGAAAGGCAGGATTAAAACATGTCTTCTGATATGAGTATGTGATTTTAGTTGCTCTGGGCCATAGTGTTGTCACAGAGGTCTTTTAGAGCTTTACAATGAATATAAAATGGTCTTGCTTCAAGATGCATTTGTTTTGTAATTGTAATGGTAATGTTAATTACACTGAATTATTGTACCACAGGTCATATAATTAAAACAAATTAATTAAATTGAAAATAAAGAAAAACAACCAAAAATTATTTTGGACAAAAATGACTGTTGTTATTATACTTTTTGGGGCTTCAAAAACACATTGCAGTGTCATTTTCAACTAGTATAGGAGTTAAAATTTCTCTCTCTTAAGAAAACATCTACGGACTAGATCTTACTGATTGACTGTCCCTTACACTATCGCCTAATCCCAATTGTAAGCAATAAATCAAGTGTTGGATATCAACAGTCTGCATTGAGATACATATGAAAGTCGTAATGCTTAACAGAAATTTCTCTTTGAGAAAAAATATTTAGTTTGATGCTATCACATGCGCAAAACCTATTCATTCTTTCTCTGGTGCTTACCATTATTTTCCGTTGAAATGTATAAATAACTATGCAATGTGAGAATGACTTCTCTGTTAAATGTTTAATGTGCAGCCCTTTACGTTGGTCTAGCAGTACTGCAGTCTTCCACTCACTGTGGTCAATCAAATGGATTGTTCATGTCTCGTGCCCCATGCCTTCTTTTGCAATATACTGCCATGTTATGCAATATAAGATGAACAATGTGGAGTAATTTTCCTCTACATAGCATTAAAAAATGAGCTCCATTGACCAGTGTCCTCGCATTGGTAGGGAAACTTGTTGATATATTTTACGCTTAGTTACTTACTAAGCTTCAGTCTCTAACTATTTTGTAGTGATACTTTGGAAAATCAAGATTATCAGACACAACATGTGTTGATGCTGAAATGTTTTTTGATTTTGTTTCTTTGCACCATTGAGTTTACATGATGTACTTACATGATCATTTATGTGCTTCTCAGGCTCCTCTGAAGTTGTGGTGTGTGCCAGCTTCTACCCTTTTGAGCTACATAACAATTCCTCAGCGTTTGGACAAATGGTAGAATTTTCTTTTACTTTTTTTCTTTTCTTTTTTGTTACTTTCATGCATAAAAAACATATTCTCTACATAAATAATCCACCTATTTGCCCTTTGCAACTTGACATTGATAATACTATGTTTTACAATATTAAAATGTCTCAGCTGGCTCCTTTACATAGACCAAAATTCAAGCAACACAATGTAAGTGAGCTTGGAGATAAAAAAAAATGCTTGTGATTTTGGGGAGCGTTCTATCAACAGGCATCAACAGGCTTAACTTTTATTATTTATATCCATGTTAAACATAGTTGGAGGGCAGTTTTGCTTGACATAACTCGAGGTGTACAATCACTCCTCTGATCATGGACTCAAGACTTCTTGTGGATTTCCTTCTAGTTTGTGTTGACTGCACATTTAGGATGATGGTTTTGACTTCTTTGCCACACTCACACAGAGCCCATGCAATGTGTTTTCATTCCTATGCACAATGTTTGGTTATGCAGGCAAATTGCTCGGAATTTCTTCGTCGTTATGGCTTATCCTTACTGCACAGCCATGTTGTCATGCTGACGAAAAGTCGTGCATGCCAGCTCGAGATCCCTCCCAATCCTCCACCCGTGCCTCAATGGAAACTCATCCGTCCACGAAAAAAGATAGTCATCTCTTCTGAACCTCAGAGTAAGTGAGAGACAGAAAAGGAGACCTCAGAATATTAAAATGTTGAGATTATGTTTGGTATTAATAAGGTAATGTGGGGAATCAAATGAAGAATTTGGAAAAATCGAACGGTATAAATAATTTCAGGGCATACAGGTGAATTTTATTAATTAATATAACTGGAACCAAAAGTGAGAGAAAATGCAATGTATTTGCAAGACTTGATGCACGCCAAAAGCAGTAAGCAACAGTAGTAAAGATATAAGGGTGGCCCCCTTGTAATTTTTTATTTTGAAAAAAGAAGTTGAGTCTGTCATATTTGATATGAGCTGACCTCTGAAAAAAAGAAAGAAAAATGCAACACAAAACCTGAATGTGGGTCTGAGTAAGAAGTGTACGCATGATGTTCACAAGTTTTTGTCCTTTTTCTCTTTGCAGAGTTCCATTTGCCAAAATCAGAGCAGTTCATTGAGGTTGTCAGTCCTTTTATCTCCTATCATTTCAGCAGCAGGGGTGACTTCATTCCAAGAAAGTGCGTACCACTGAATTGAAATTTAATCAGATAAATATTCTACTCTACAAAGGTATTTTTCAGTTTTCTGTAATCTGTGCCTGAAGTCGGAGGAGACTTCAGGCTCTTTGTTTTGGAATTGTTGCAGAACATTATCACAGTTAAACTTTTTCTTGGGAGTGTATTATATATGCGGCAATTTTAAATGTGAAATTAGTTCCCTAACTAGCAACCTGCTCATTTATGTAATTAAATTAGTTGAATGGAAAAATGTTTTTCTGATTTAATGCAATGGCCATAATGTGACATGAATGAATCGTGTGTAGATGACACATTATATTTATTTTCACGGATGTGTTTTTGTTTTTCAGAGAGGCTAAGCAGATTGCTCCAAGGAAGCATTCCCATAGAACCCCTCTGATGTCCATTACTGAGAGAGAAGAGACTGAATGTCAACAAAGCCTTGAGCCTGATATAGCTGGATGCACTACTAACTCACCAAACAACAGGGACAAAAATGAGGTGCATAGAACTAGTGCCTTTTTTGGCCCAGCATTGGTATATACATTTTAACATTTAAGAAGTGATTATTTCAGTAAATACACATATTTATTTATTAGATAATTAGACATATCTAGTGCACAGACAGAAATAATATTTAAAAACAAACAAACATAATGGCTGCTTTTAGAATATGTTCACTTCTTGTTTCTACTTTCTCTATGGGTTCTTCTCTGTTCCCTTACACCTCTGTCTATGATGTTAGTATGCAGCTGAAAAGCTCTGCGCTCAGTGACAGAGAAATTGACATCCCCAGCCTCAAAGTCACTTCTGTTGTCTCCCAGCCAGGCCACTATTGACCTGGGGCACATTTGCAGTAAAGAGAGAACCATCTCAGAAAAGGAAAAAACAGGGGGTGGAGTTCAGAACGGCAGCACTTAACAAGGCTGACAGAAATTAAGACAGAAGCAACGATAGTAAGGAGTGCAGAGGAGGAACCACTCTGCGTTACAACTTATAAGAAAAATGGGGATAAAAAATTTAATATTTTGGAAGATAAATGACAGCAGAGCAGAAAAAGACGTGATGGTGAAAGAGACTCTTTGGTGTGTGGTGGGAGAGGTCATGTACTGTGCTAATGAAAAAAGCAGTGCAATTAGACGGTGAGCCATCAGTGTCTGCATCTCCTGGGGGCTTCATTATTATACTTCAATCCTACCATACAGAGGAAAAAATAGAGATCATATAAATCTCTCTCTTGGTAACTGTAAGCTGTTATAGAACAGTTGGGTTTAGACATGATAATTTAATCTGTCGTCGGATGTCTGTGCATACACACTTGTTAAAATCAGTTTGTGTCATGTCTTTGCTACATTTATTGTGAATGTTCCTGCTCTTCACCAGCACATGCAGGATCACGTGCTGTGAGATGATGTATCAAATGAGAAGGATATTTTTTGTCTGATCCTTCTCATTATTTTTATGAACCCTGGCCAGCAGAATGAAGCTCTGTGCCTCACTCCAGGATAGAGGAAGTTATTGTCACATGACATCCCTAATACTCTCATTGGCTTACTTAGTCAGCTGTTGCATAGTTTAAAGTATTAGATCCAAGTGTAGGGGTTGTTTCAACAGCTGATGTATTTGGATAACGGTTAATCCCAAAATGATCAATATTAAGTTGTGTTTTTACTTGACCCTCACTTAGAAAAATGATCTCTGGAACATTTGAAATAAATTAATAGATACATTCTAAATTAGATCTCTCTGTTTAAAATAAAAAATATTCAAAGGTGGGTTTAAATGTGCTCTGCTAATCACTAATTCATGATTATATTGATCACAGGATGTTCATCCATCCATCCATTTTCAGTACCATTTATTCCCAACGGGGTCACGAGGGGACTGGAGCATATCTTAGTATACAATGGAGGAGAGGCGGGGAGAATATTAATGTGTCCTGGGAAAATAGCTAAAAGTTCCAGGGTCCATGTGTGAAATCCACATGATAAAAATCTGTCGGTCACAACGCACCCACTCTACGCACATAAGCAGTCTCATGAAGTGGTTCCCTGCTTATGCACGGGATCCACCGAGCTTCGAAGCTGAACTAGAAGAGTCATGCACTCTTATCAACATGCATACAAACATAGATATTGAAATTTTGTTGCAGGAAAGCACTTCTCCAGAGAAGGTCAAGGGTGCCTCACAATCACAATGCCTTTTCCGTCCGTCTACATCTCTGGGTACTTATTTGCATAAGTGGTGACTCACATACAGCCATACACACACACTGAATCATCAACAATACTTGGCTGTGCTTGCTTTGAAGTAACAAAAATACACATTTCTGATTCTTTTTCAGAGCTTAATAAACATCTGAACTACTCACTAAAGATATTTATTATTTAATATAAATAGTAAAGCAAAATGATACAGGTATTTCATTACATGCAGCTTTGATATTGCTAATTCCCTTTCTCACATCACACCAACTCTTAGATTCCTCCTAAGACTTAAGAATATTCCTCTTTAGGGATATGATCATCACTCATTTGATGTATTCCGTTAACAACTTGTACAGATAGGCTTACATATTAAGGATATGAATGCTGATCTACTGTGTAAATCACCTCTAAAATGACAAACATGCTTAGCAACATAATAACTTCTCATCTGTCACTGACATTCAAACTAAATTAGAGCTGGTTTTCCCTGGTGGTGTTTTTAGCTGGGGAGGAGTAGCCCCTGTCACATTAAACTGTGTCTCTGTGTTGGGTGAGAATGGCACAACACCACAGCTGGCACAGAATCACTAGAGGGTGGAAGCGTATCTCTTGCAGTGCTACTCTGTCAGCAACCCACAGTTCATTCCTCCCTCACTTTCCCTTTTTTCTCTCTTGTTGTCCCTGTAGGTTACAACAGAGGACAAGGAGAAGGACAATGATGACATCTCCAACGGTAAAAAACATTTTTGTGGGATGTTACATGACTCAATTTTGTTGAAAGAATCATAAAAGATCACCTTACCTGAGTTTGAACATTAGGCCTCTAAAAAATGCATGAGGCTTATATTTGATGTTTTATCTAGAGTAGCAAATGTCTTGAAGGTCATCTTTATTGGGTCTATTTGAATAGCATTCATACAGCACAATGTAGTTAATATCTTTAGAAGCATTTGCATCCATCATTTTCTCCATACTTTAATCAGTTGACCAAGACAGTTTGAAGATAGGACAAAAATGATGCCTTGTGACAACAAACCAATTCCCTGCCTTCTCTCTGCCACCGTTTAGTTGCTTAGTAACACCTGCAGTTTGAGTTAGTAGACCACCATTGCTCAGCAGCAGAGACACTGGCCTTTGCTGCCTCAGCTTACTGATCAGACACTTGCTTCAAATAGAGCTTGGGGCCAGATTGTTTGTGTGTGCATGGGCAGTCTTTTGGGGATGAGTGTATCTGTGTGCATATGTCTCTGACTTTGCACAGCGTGCACTGGGATAGTGGGAGTTTGTGAGTGGGAGTATGGATGTACATGTGTGCTTACACTTTGCCTTTATGTGGGAGTTTAGCCAATTTGCTCAGTGTGTTTAAGATAATGATTTGAGTCTGGGAAAACTTGATATGACTCAGACACATTTTGTCATTTTCACCATTTTGAAATACAAGATTTCACTTACAGCTTCATGTGTATGTGGCAAAAGTGTAGAGGGGAAATTACTGGTAATATGGGTTACACACAACTTTGGAAGGATATAGTATCCTTTTATTATGCTGCAAATAATCTGGAAACAATATAGCTTATCAAATGACACACTTTTATTTCCATCACTAAGGAAAGAGGCTGAATTCTACTAACTTGATTTATTTCTCAAATCTCACCTCAGATTTTTTTTGTTCATTCAGAATTAATCAGATCCCTAACTTTGCAGATAGGCCAAAAGCTGCCATAAAACAGCCTGTATCTGGGGGACCCTTTACTGCTGTCAGACCCGTCCTGAAGAGGACATGGGTGGACCTTGTTGACTTTGCAGAATCTTTTCAGTGAGAAACAACCAAACACAGACATATAAATGTTACCATACTGTACTAATAGAAAATAAACATTGAAATAAAAAAAAAATCTGCTTTCCTCTAGGACCCTCCTGATCTGTCATAAGCCACAAATCTACCCACATCAAATTCAGAGATCCCAATTCAAGGTACAGAATCTGTAATAAACATTAAGTTGAATGTGAGTACAGCCAGCAGATCTTACAATTATTAAATGTTCAATTCTTTCCCACATATTTCCTGTGTTTCTATGTTTTAACAAAAAAAAGCACACTTTTAATATATTGCAATTGCAATAACTTATTTGTTTATTTGTCAACAGAGCACCATTCTACCTAAAACTATAGGAGGCTCTTCCACTCAGCTTACCTCTGCATCCATGGCTGTTGCAAGTCAAGAAGTATTCTTGCAGACACACAGAAATACAAGCTTGCATAGACAAACTGATCTCACATGCAATTTGGCTATTTTAACAAAGTTGTATTCCAAATCCTCAGATTACATTGACTGTTATTTATGTGGCATGCCTGTGTTTTTTCCAGTGTGCAGAGGTAACAGGTACTTACTTCCTGTATGTGGACAGTCTGACATCTTCACAAATTCTCATCAGCTTTTCTGCTCTCTGTTTCTGGAGAGGTACAGCTGAGGAGAGTAAGGATTTATGAACACATTTATGTGCATTTTCTTGTACATTTTTTTTTATTGTTTTTTATTTGACAAAATGTGTACCTATCGTTTTATTACATTTTTTCTCTTCACTTTGCAATACCTCATAGAAAAGAACATGGTTGGAGGACATCGATCTGCAGTGTTAATCGTCCTGCCACACTCCTGGACAAGTCTGCAATCTCAGCTGCCAGTTCTCACCATCAAAGCCACCTACTCGAAGGCAGCTTTTCTTAACTTACCCTCAGGGTAAGACAGCACTTTTATAAATTGAGGGTTCCGGAATATAATGATCAAAATAGGAATTTTAGATCAAACTTTATTTGTCTTAACACAAAAAAAAGATTCTTAGTAAAGAGATGCAAATCTTACAGATTTTCATACCTCTTAACCCTTTATTAACCTAAGGTGTCCTTTTCGAGTTGCTGGTATCATTTCACTTTTGTTTTGATGTTTATAACTGCAGGGATATTTTTAATGCAATCGTGTGAGCAGTGGATATCTTCCTATCTCAATTTCTCTTAGAAACACTACAATAATCTCTCCCAGTCTATTAATGGGTGTGACTTGGCCTAGAAGCGGAGGACCTAGTTTTTTAGGGTCAGGTGCAAGTATGCAGTTGTGCAATTACCACTGAGCCATAATCACACACAGGGCACTCCACTTACAGAGCTCCATAGTGTTTTTACTACAAGAGACTGATATATTCAACCTTTTTAAAACCAATCACTGTTAAATGACTTGCACACTTTGAATGTTTTTACAGTTCTGTGCTTGGCCAGTTTATTGATTAAGTCTGTCCTTTCACTGTGTCAATATACCGTTCTATGCTTATTTTCAATCTCATTTTATTTTCGCATTCTTTCTTTCATTTGTTCCCATCTTCTCTCTTGATCTTCGGCTTTCTTACTCTTATTTATTTCCCTCTTATGTAAAGCTACAGTGCCAGCCAATTATTGCCTTTGTGGTCATCCATCTAGCGAGGCTGTAATGGCTGAATTATGTAGCTAATAGAAATACAAGTAAGTGGGGTTCCAGTCTGATGTCTGACCAGGTCCTGTGGACACATCTTACCACGTGGTTTGCTGGTAGTAGGCTACGGCCTCTTAGACAGTTTCTGTCACTGCGTAGTACCTAGCATAAACATAATTCTGTAAAAGAAAACAATTAAATCCATTACTACTGAGTTGATTATCATCTCTTATAAACAATATACTTTCTTAAAAGGTGTTGAAGGCATCTAAATGAAAAATCAGTGAAGTATTAAAAAGAATAAAATAGAATGTGACATAGTGATTCAGATAAGTTATATTCACTCTGTAAAAGAGACACAGGAAAAACATAAAAATGCACAAAGGTTCTGAATATTTTATTCTTTTTTTAGCTTCAGATTTACATATCCAACCATTATGATTGGGAAGTAAAAACTAAAACTTCCACAAAAAAATTGTGTAAGAATAATTTTTGCAGCGCAGTGAACCAAAAAACAAACAAATGAAGTCACTTTATTTTATATAGGCGTCATGTGCTGTGCTTGCACACAAATGCGCCACTGGGCTGCCATGTGCAGCTGTGCAGCAAGACACCATTCATCTTCGGGGATGAAGAAACCATTATGGCGCACCTCACAAAGGTAACCAAACCTTTGTCTATCACCTGGCAACAACTCCTGTAGGCATTTTATTCTTTTGGATTGTTTTTTATTTTTATTTTCAGTATCTTTCATACAATGTTAGTATAATTTAGTTTTTATAAGAATGCTGTCAAAAGGTGAATTCAGTTATAATATGGGTATGTTTTTCTGGTTAATGGATACAGTCGTAATAATGTGAGGAAACCATTCTACAACACAAAGACCAACCAATACAGTACAGTTTGTAATATCATTCTACAATTAGCTGCCTGCTGCTGTAACTAGAACGATACACTGTTAACTTTTTTATAATACTGAAAAGAATCATGTACACACTCAATACATTGAACTTCCATTCAGTTTAAGTTGTATAACTAAACTAAATAGTTACTTTTGTCTTTAACAGGAAAGTGCTCGCTTCACTGAGCAGGCCTCATCCATATTTAGGGCACTGTCCATAGTGGTGTCTTCCTTTGGGGATGAGCAAAAGCTGCCAGCACTCAGAAAGATGCTGGAAGAGACTCACTGCCCCAAAAACATCAACAGCACCAAGAAGAAATGGGAACACCAAAAGGTAATGTCTTTATTACATAGGATAGACATGGGATTTATATCTCTTTGGTGCTGTTGGCTGGTAGTTGCTGCATGCACATAATGTATTGGCAAATGTTATTTTACATGCCAGAACATGTTC